TCTCGACGCGGCTATTTTCTTTTTTTTTTTACAAAAAAATCGAAATGGGTGTTATATAAATTTTAAGAAAATAAATATAATAATATATATTTTATATAAATTTTAAAAATAAAATATTTTGATTAATATTATTGCCTTTTCGCAATTAATTTTTTATTTAATTAAAAAATATTTAAAATATATTTTAAAAATATAATATATATTCAAATTTTTTATTGCCTTTTTTTTCGGTTTTTATATATGTAATATATATTATAAATTCTTTTTACCCTTTTTTTAGTATAAGTATTGTAAGTTAACATAATAATATATAATATAATATTTTATTAAAAAAAATTATATAAAAATTATATTAGTAATTAATATATAATGAATAAAAATTATTTATAGTAATATAGGAGGTACTATAATTATTAGTACAATTATACTAAAAATATATTAGTATAAATTATTAAGTTATATATATCAATTAAGAGAAAAGATCATATGAGAATGATACATGGTGAAAGAAATAAGAATGATTATAAACCATTGGATTGGTAAGATCAATGGACACAATTAAGTCAAAATTAAAGAACAATGGTCAATTCATTAATGGCACAATCGTAAATACATAAATATCTTGGACAAATAATTACATCAAGGGGTATTTAAGTAATTCACCATCCACCAAAACCAGTGGGACCCACATGTATACCATAAAACCAGCTTTCTCTCTCATCTCTCTCCATTCTCCCGTCATCTCTCTCTCCCTCTCTCACACACACACAAACACGCACCATCCACCTTCCTTCCGCCGGCGGTTTCGTCGGCCGCGCCTTCAGCCGATGGTGTTGACGGCCACCAGACGCATCTCGCAGGCGACCAAATCCGGCACCGACTAACACAGCTTCCACGGCAACCGACCCGACGACGGCCAAATCGGCCAATTTGCAGGCGGCGCTTTCCAGATATCTCTATTCCGACGTCAACGGCCTTCGATTCGACGGTCAGTTCGTGTCCTCCTCCGCGAGCCAGAGCCCACGGCCATATTCACTTTCTCGCTGCATCCTTGGTTACCATCGCATCCGTCGACCACAAGGATTGGGGCTGGAAGAGGGTCGAAATCGCCGGAGGTCCGTTACCAGGACGGCGGTGTGAGATTGGGGCTGGAAGAGGGTGGTTTGTGAAGTCAGATTTGTGGTTTGTGAAGTCAGATTTATGATTTGTAAAGTCACATTTGAGATTTAGATTTTGGACATTTTGTTGAAAATTTGATATCTTATAGGGATTCATATGCAATTTGGATTTTTTTACCTAAGCCGGAAGTGATGGCTGTGAAGGATGCAGGGGATCAGGAGCTTGAGTTGAAGATTGGGAATTGATAATGTGGCCTTTGTTTTAAAAATTAGATATAATATAGGGACCATTTTGCAATTTTTAATAAAAATTAATTATAACAAAATCAATTCATATTTGAATATATATTAATTAAAATATAATAAATGCATATATTGACAAATAATTTGTACAATATTGTACTTATAGATGTATAAATTGAATAATAATAATAATCGAACAAAATATAAAATCTCGTACCGAATTTTCGTCCATTCATTCTTGTTCGATTTTGTGCAATTTGTATAATCCTAATGTGCACTCGCAATACATAAAAAAAATCAAAAATTATTATTAAGTTTTCATAAAAAATTATAAATAATAATATTAAAAAAAACGGCTATATTTTTCATATAATTTGACATGTTTGGTTACTTTGTTTATTTAATAACACTAAATGCAATATTTAAACACCTAATATTATTCGATCAATTAACATAATTAAAATTTATAAGGTGCAATATGGTGTGTCATAAGGTGCACCGTATTGTTATATAAAGTGCAACATATTCATATATACAGTGCAATACTGAAATTTTAGTATGATAGCAATTGACGTTTACGTGCAACATGTTTTATAAGGTGCGACATGTTGTGTCATAATGTGCAACATATTGTTGTATAAAGTGCAACATATTGACATATAAAGTGCAACATATTGATATATAAAGTGCAATACTGAAATTTGAGTATGTTAGCATGCTTGTGTTTTTTTCGTGTATGGATGATGTGATGTATATTAAAGTATTATGTTGATCCGTTTTTTTTAATCACATTATGTAATATTTTGTGATGGGAGTTGTTTACATTAATTGTGCAGTATGATGATAAAGTGCAATGTGTTGTTTATAAAGTGCAACGATCTGTGTTATAATGTGTATTGTTATGATATATAAGGTGCACTAATTTATATAATCACATATAATTATGTATTTTTGAAATTAAATTTAGTAAATATAATTGTACATCAAATTATACTAAATAATTGAAATAATTTATTATTTATCATTATAACAATATATTTATTATTTTAATATTTTTTATAAATTAATTTTTTCAAACTAGAATTTTATCAAATTATTTATATTATAAAAATGTTTTTAATATTTATGATTCTGTTATTTCATATTTTATATTATTGTTCCTTGAAAAACAATAATGTGCATTCGTAGTCATTCAATCAATCAACCGAATTAATAGGAACATTCAAAATAAATTGTTACTTATATAATGTGCATTTTATTTATAATTAGTATACATTTATTATACTTTCTACAAATTACAAATTTAGCACTTGAACCAAATTGAAGTATAATCAAATTTCATGAAATTGCAATTAAGTCATTGCAATTTATCTAATTTTCAAAAAAATACCCAAACCCAACTTCCTTCTCATCTACACTACCCACGCGCACACAACTCCACACACACACACACACCTCTGCTTCAACCACGAAAATTATAAAAAAAAAATCACAGCAGCTCCCCGTCGATGGAATTGGCGACCACATCAACGACGCCGGCTAAGGCGACGTGGTCCGGCGAGAATTGGGGCGACAGGTAGGTGAATCGGAGAGGGTCGCGGCTTCTCTGCCGCTGAGGATGACGGAGCAGGGGTTCTCTGGCGTCTGGCGGCAGAGCAGTTGCCACGGCGGCGCCGCCACGGTCGAAAGCAGTAACTCTATGTGAAATTCTGAGAGAGAGAGAGAGAGTTACGGGAAGAGAGTGAAGAGAATTAAGGGAAGATAGAGGAGAGAGAAAGTGTGTGAGAGAGAAAAAGTGTGTGAGAGATATATAATGATTAAAGCACATATGGGGTGCTGGGAATGGGAACGGATATTATTTGGGGTGGGCTTAATTGGTGTGTGAGTATGAATGTCCATAACACCCTTAATGATGATATAATTTTGATTTTTTTTAGCCATGAGATCATCCGATCTAATGGCTTAAATTTATTCTTATTTCTTTCATGGAGCATCATTCTCACTTGAACCCAACTCTATTAATTAATAATTAATTATCTTATAAAATAAAATTTATTGATATTACGTTAGAAGTTAGAATTTATTATATAATAAATTACAAATTATTATTATTATTTTGAGATAAATTATAATTTATTATTTTTGTAAAAATATTAACATACATCGTAACATATTGCAGGTGCCACTCGAAGATTTTGGAGGAGACGGTGAAGATTATCGATGTTGTTTGGCTACAGACGAACTATTTGATACTCCCGAAAAAGCTATTGAATGGGCAAAAGCCATTGCAA